GTTCTTCATAGAGGCAGCGGGATAGGAACCATAGTTGTATTCGTCCAAGTTGTATCATCCTTCGTAAGCTTGTCTACTGGACTCAAACTGCGATGATGGTTGAAGTAACTTTTGATATTTTTAAGCAATGGTGTGTACAGGATGGTTCTAAATAGATGAAACATCCGTATAGACTAGTGAGCTTATTTAACCAATCGCCCTGAGTGCCTAACGCTCAAGCACAACACCACACAATGGCATGCGTTCAACCAAACTCTACGAGATGCATTCAATTCCTCAGACTTTCAAGAGATCTTGGGTGGATCGATGCGTCGGCCACTAACGCACTCTGTTCGCATCCATTATATCCTAGTTACCTTTACCCAGAATGTGGAATAACGAGTATATCTACCAGTTTCAGCCTGTCTAACTATCAAGCGATTCATTTAAAGGTGATTGCTCGTAGTGTGTCTAACTGTTCCATGGAATGGCTGATTAGGATCTTTCTGTATTGACCGAGACTACCTGAACCCTTTGTAACTCAGTAGTAGTACCCAGAGGTCCTATCCGCTGACTTTTATTGTTTCTAAAATCACTGTTACCTGCATCATCACGCAGTGCAAGGATTCCATTTCCTGCTCAGGCGTTTGTGATCTTTAGGTTCACTCTGGCTAGGAGGTTGCGGCAGGGATCTCTATAATTATTCATGAGATGCACATCACTGATGATTCCCAATAAGGGTGAAACATTTTCTTGGCATTTCCGCTTAGATTAACTACACTTACAGGACGAAGTATCTATTGGTAAAGAAAACTCACCAACTCTCCTCATACAACCACCCAAAACGTCTAGTAGCCCACAGGTAAGAACCAATCGCACGGCGAATAAAACTTCCACCTCACGTTACCACATGATGTGAATTCCGTAGTTGGTGTATTTTATCCATTGCATTTATGCATTATTACACGGATATCTGTTATTGGAATCAGTGTGGGCTTTCATCTGGAATTTACATTAAACTGCTTTTGGACTGGGACCCAATAATGCGTTATCCCAAACGGAATGAAACCACTTCATACATCTGTGGATTGTTTCTGCATTCGTATACGTACTCTTTGTACTGATAGAAGGCGAAACGTCATAAACTGTGGGCGTATTCGTGGGAGGAGTTATGCGCATTTCTGAAAAAATTGCCTGCCTATTCGGTGCTTCCGCATCTCGGGCATTGTATTGGATAACTGTCACTGATGACTGCGTGGCGCGCGGTCAAAAATGTAGACGAAACACAGCATGTTAAGTGTTGAATGTAGTATTGTTTATGAGGGATACATATAACTGAAGTTTTGGCGGGGAAAATGGCATGGATTCACTATGTGGGTGGTTAATCTTTCAGTATTTTTTTCAAAAAGGAAAGAATTATGACGCTTAGGTATCAGTAGAAAGCAAGTACAACGAGTCGCTTACATACTATATAAACTTCACACTTTATGGGAAGGATTTTGCAATGATGAATGTAACTGACTGTTTTCCAATTGCCTAACAGCCACTGCATTTCGGACCCAGACACACCATTTTACACATGAAGAAGTTGCGTGATGCTATTTAAGCCCAATGCGTGACATAAAATCGCCGTATTTGGACGATTAGTCACTGACCCTGACTTCCAGACAATTTCACTGATGATTTCGAGGCGATGGGCTATTGGCTGAATCAGCGTTTGAAATAGCCCATCACGCAGGGAAAGGGAACTATGAATTTGACTAATATGTTCATCTGTCCACCAATCTACGTTTCACCGGAGGCTTATCTGGAACCCAACTGAACCCCTCGCTTATAATTTTCTTCACGCCAATTGGGTGACGGCGCCTCGGAGATTGCACCCGCCTGGTGGGACCCAAGAGTGGCGAAACGGGTCATAGGTTGTCGAAGGTCTTTCAGCAATCTTATGGGTAGCGTATTATAATACATAATACAGTATACAATCTGATGACATAGTTTTTATTGCATATATGAACAAGGAAGAACTTAACGAAATTGACGAAGTAGCCATTTCCGATTGCTGGTGTCCATAGATGGGTAGTGGCAGATGCTCGCCGCTCAGAAACAGACGCGATATTTGGTCATTCATTTGAAATACCTCGTTAGCACAGAACGCTTCTTCAACTCGCCATCGTGGTAGTTCACCACGGTACCTAACTTCGATGTGCACACGAAAATATAAAAAAATCCGGAGTGCTCAACATCAAGTCAAACGGTGTTCAATAAATTTGATTCAGGCTGTTAACTACTTAACTATCATCAGTAGCTTATAATCAGTCCGTGTGACACCTCGATGTTACTGGTGTTGCCTCGAGGCATCACATGCGAGGAATTCGGGTTCTCAAACCCTCGAATGCATTTGAGGCGTATTTCGCCAATTTCTCTCACATTGTGTACCCGAGCTATGAGGTGTGCACCAAAGCAAACTATTTTCATAAATTAACAAAAATTTTTCGCAGTTTGTGCAATTCTCGAGTTCGTTGAAGCATCCAACAGATACCCCAAGTCTGTGTAACAGTTTCCTTTAGGTACTCAATGGCTTCCAGGAAGTTTTCGGCGAAACTCATGACATCACTGCCTGGAGTAATTCAACGGAAGTATCTATTCAGACACGAGACACTTAGGACCTGGCCTGGTTGTCCAAAATTCCTTTTAGAGCGGATTATGCGTGCGCGCCAGGGCAAAGGGCAGCACCCGAAAAATTGGCACCATTCCCATCTTAAATTCTCTTACCAAGTTTCTTCCTAGAAATGTTTTTTCTGCTGTTATGCAACAACTGAGCAATCGACTGTTAATCTGAACTTTGATTACCAATTAGTGTACCAAGTGCAGTCGAACAACCATGAGAATAGCTTTGTAAACGAATGCTACCACTTATTTCGGGCATAAGACCTGCTATATCTGTTTACCAAATAGCTATCGAGAACAATACTAATATATATATATATATATATATAGCTACGGAAGTGAGCATCAGTCCTAAATTTCGCTATACTCCGAGAACAGACGAAACACAAGTGAAGCTGTCCCAAGTGATCCCAAGTGGTCAACTGCGCCTGCACTGTATTTGGTGAAGAGTCTTTGAAAAACTTAAAGGATGAGAAAGCGACGTATTGCTGTATCATCGTGGTAACCAACGTTCATACAAGCGAGACGCTGGCGCAGGCCTGAAAATCATAAACTCTGGAACAGTCAGAGCCACTCCCGGCAATCAGCTTGCACTAAATTAGTTCAGCCAACCCTTTTTACAAGCCGTGCCAGTTTTATCCATGTGATATCTCGATGCCAACGGCAGATGCTTCAAAAAAATACAAAGACTTCAGGTTTTTGAAACCTATTTAGGTACGGTCGAGACGTGCTCGTGAATAATTATCGTCCTAATCCTGAAACGACCAAAATGAAACAGTGGAATGTCCCGATCTTGTTGCTTTAGACTTTCCGTACGACAAAAATTGTCAACACACAAAAGGACACGCACCAGCTTTGTAACACATGATATCAGGTTGGTCACGAACGCTTTTCGAAATATCATAGAACAACAGATCTGCCACACATAAGGGGATAGTTTTTTCTTGAAACTGACATGGAAATTAGTTTTTGTGGAAAATTCTGGCCGGGATTCTGTAGACGCAGCGCATCAATGCAAGTATGCACCGCCAGGAGGGTTGTCGAGTCATAACAGTGAATAAATTGGATGGATGGATGAATGTGCGCTAAAACAAATGAGCAAAACGAGTTTCACCAAATTGCCGACATTTTGGGAAATTTCAATTTTAGCAAAGATGCGCATATTTCTTCTCAGGCATTCAACGGTTGTTGATACGCACTTGGTGTGTCTGGCAAATAAAGAGGAAAAATATGGGTTCAGAAAGCTGGTTTCTTTGTTTACATGTTCCCTAAGATAGGTTTTCCTTGTAGAATTGGATTTCGCCGGATATACACTTGGAAGATTTTAAGTTTATTAAGTAAAAAGAACTCCGCAAGTCTGTTGAGCGGTTTGCATTTCTGCACTGCAGTGGAAGGTTGTCAACCTGTCTACTGTGGCGTTTTGCACTTTTATTTTACTTGCATTATAACACTACGTATTTCATCAACTGTATAATCGTTTTTTGTTTGAATGCGAAAAACTACAAAAACGCGCACTTGTACAATTTCACAGAATGCAAGCGTGGTCACGTGCTTCGACTCTCTCTCTCTTCTGATTTTCGCTCGCGCTTGTAGCGGTCATTCGCGTGTCTCATGTACTAACACTGGTACCAAAACATTTCAGACCATCTTCGGAATCTATTATATGTGCGAAATGTCCAGAAGGAGACCTCTGGACCAACATAATTGGATTATTGTTTACTCGCCGACCTGGGCCAACGACGAACTATTTTAAAGAGAACAATTGTTAGTGAGTCCGTTCCACCTGACCTCTTTATTTTTGTATACCGTATTTTGTATACTGTAATTATTTTTTATTTCTTTGCCACACACTCCTGGTAAACTAACTTATTGGGTAGCCAGACCACTACAAATTTGGTGAGCCCGAGTACTTATAGATATTTTTCGTGAATTTTTCTTTTCAAGTCGTCGTAATTTTGTTTCTTTTGCCTGGTCATTATGGAGGCACACTTTGATTCAGCGGATTTAGTCGAGAATGCGATTAGCATAGGTTTACCGGACTACAATCCACGCAACCCCAGGGTATGGTTTCACCAGCCGCTCTTCGAACGGCCGTCATAAGTAAGACAGGGAAATCAGAAAACAGAATGCCGCGGGATTTATTCACCACTGCCGAACTTGGTATCAGATCGCCATCACAACTGCTTCGCCACACGCGCAGTCTTCTCTGCGACCGTAAGCTAGCGGTGTAAATCATGGCTCAACTATGGCTCAACCAACTTCCACCCCCCATGTCCCACGTCATAAGTGCTTTCGTTGATGACCACAGCTTGGAGCGGCTAGCCCAAATGGGTAATAAGATACACGAAACATACCCCAGTAACTCCATAAACTCCGTCTCCCGCCCTACACCCACTGCCTCTACAGATTCCGATCCGATTATTGCTTTCATATCGCAACTACAGGCTAAGTTTGATGCTTTGACCGGTTAGAGGTCAACAGGCATCGGCCACGTTCACGAACCAGATCGCTGTCCCGTGCCCGTCCCTCTTGGTGCTGGTATCACCGATCTTATGGCCCAAAGCACCCAAGTGTCAACCACCTTGTTCCTTCAAGCCGCGCCACAACACCCCTTTAAAAACCCCGGCCAGTCAGTAGGGGCGACGACTGTCTGTGGCCCTCCTCGCACTAGTTGCCTGTTCCACATCACCGATCATTCAAGAGGTCTGCGTTTCCTCGTAGATATGGGAGCTGAAGTTATTGTGCTACCACATAAGAATCCACTTTCCGATTCTGCTTCTTTCTCCTTACAAGCCGCTAACGGTACCCGCGCCGCTACATACCGCGAACGTTCCCTCACCCCTGACCTCGGATTGCGACGTGCGTTCAAGTGGATCCTCCTTTCGGCCGACGTACAAACACCAATCATCGGTGCAGATTTCCTAACCCATCTGGGTAGGTGTGGGTGTTTTTGGGATAGCAGGATTGCTGGATGTGTTCGTGGGTGTTTCAATGTAGGCAGGTTTCAAACGATCTGTGGAGACGGTATCGTGCTTTCCGCTTCCCTCAAATACAAAGTATTTGGGGTGACGTTCTATAACCTTGAAGGGGCCATCATAACAGGGTTGGAGGGGTTTCCTCGTCGCGTCATATCGGACAAACACGAAAGATGTAGAAGAGAGATCGGCTGAGATGTGTTCTGTTCGGGTTGATCGTCTGGTCGGTGTCGAACGCAGTTTGGACCTATGCCGTTTCACACGAGTAACGAATGTGGCGGGGTGGGTTGGGGCGCCAGAAGGGGAAATCAGTTCAACCGGTAAACGTAAAGTTGTACCGTACACTAGTTCGGATGGTGAACAGTGAAGATCCTTCTTAATAGTGGAGCGAATAGCAAGCAAAATGAGAGGTAAGGAAGAGGACCATGAAGATGGGTTCATTTGGGCGGTCAATGCAGCTTTGAGATATCGATGGAAACGCTCAACCAGACCGTTGGAACAAGGATGATAGGCGGTAGTCGATATGTCATGGAAACCGAACAGTGTAGAAAACTCGCGGAAGAGATTACACTGAAATGGTGAACCGCGATCCGTAGTACCGTGGAAGGTATGCCAAATTTACTCACCCAGTGCTGCAAAAATGAAAGGACAACCGTTTCAGCCGAAGTATCCGAAATGGGTACAGCTACTGGCCAACGGGTAAAACGATCGATCATGGTAAGAATATGCGTGAAACCTTTTGATGAGAAGAGTGGGCCAACAATGTCCAAATGGACGTGTGTGAATGGAGCATCGGGAACGGCAAATGAACCGATAGGTGAGTTCGTATGCCGAGTTACTTTACTGCGTTGACAAGCGATGCACTGTTTGGCCCAGGATGTCAGGTCCTTATTCATGAAGGGTCATACAAAGCGTGCACTAATCAACTTCCTTGTTGCTCTGATTCCTGGATGAGAAAATCCATGAAAGTGGTCGAAAACAACCCGTCGGAAGGCTTCGGGTACGATTGGGCGAGCTGAGCCGGTAGATATATCACAAAAAGTGGTTCCGGATTGGAGGGGTAAAGGAATTGAGGAGACTAGAAATGAAGGAAAGGATAGAATGGGCAAAAAGTTAGGATCGCTCTTTTGAAGGTTAGACAGCTTGGTCAGGTCCAGCTCCGTGGAAGGGTGAAGAGCGTTGATGTCAGGAGGGGATAGGGCATCTGCGATGACATTGTCCGAACCTGGAGTGTACCGAATGTCGGTAGTGAACTGTGAAATGTAGTCGAGATGGCGTATCTCGCGTGGTGAATATCTATCGGGCTTGGCGTTGAAGGCATAGGTGAGTGGCTTATGGTCGGTTTAAATGGTAAATGATCTACCTTCTAACAAGCGCCGGAAATGGCGAATAGCAAGGTAAATTGCGAGTAATTCACGACCGAAAGTACTTTAACGCGTTTGGGCAGCCTGCATCTTCTGCGAGAAAAACGCTAGTGGTTGTGTTGTTGACCACTTGATGAAGCACGGCACCGACGGCAGCGTTCGAAACATCAGTCGTCAAAATAAGATTTGTGCTTTCGTGAGTATCAAGGAAAGGTAAATTTGTGGCCTGAGCAATGGCTCGCTTGGCTCTTTCGAAAGCGGCCATGGCGGCATGGGGCAAAGTAACAGAGTTTTCTTTGGAGCCAAGTAAATCGGTCAGTGGCTTCAAAACATCTGCACAGTGAGGGATGAATCGCTGGCAGTAGTTGATGATGCCTATGAAACGACAAAGTTGGGTGAGAGTCATGGGTATGGGAAAAGACTCTAGGGCCAAAATGCGATCGGGTAATGGTGAAATACCCGTGGCATCAATGTGGTGGCTAAGAATATCCAGGCTGGCAACACCGAATAAGCGTCAATGTTCAAACGTATGTTGTAAGTGGAAAAACGTTCAAACACTGCTCTGAGATGAGCTGTATGTTCAGCTGGGGAGGTGCTAGCGACTAAAACATCGTCAAGGTAGGCGTACACAAACGGTAAGCCACGTAAAACCTCGTCCATGAAACGTTGAAACGTTTGGGCTGCATTTCGAAGACCAAAGGGCATACGCGTGAATTCGAAAAGGCCAAACGGTGTTGTGATGGCTGTTTTGGGAATGTCATCCGGAGCTACGGGTATGTGGTAGTATGCTCTTATGAGATCGAGTTTGGAGAAAATGTTTGTATGGCATAGGGTACTTGCAAAATCGTGGATATGTGGGATGGGATACCTGTCTGGGATAGTAGCGTTTTTAAGAGAACGGTAATCTCCACAGGGTCTCCAATCACCTTTAGATTTCTTAGGTACCATATGTAGGGGAGAGGGCCAATGACTCAGTGAAGGGCAGATGATGCCGAGTTCGAGCGTGTGTTCGAACCCGTGTTTTGCGATTTGTAGCTTATCCGGATGAAGTCGGCGGAGGTTGGCATGGACAGGTGGACCTCTCGTCTGAATATTGTGAAGGACGGAATGAGTGACCGTTTGCGTGTGCTGACATGGATGAGTAAGAATCGGAAAGTCCTAAAATACGTCAGCAACATGTGAATCCTGTAAGATAACTCGGATAACTGCGGATGAAGTTGAGGCACTAATTCCGATGACTGGGAGGGAAATAAGCGTGTCCAAGAGACGTTTATGTCGCACCTCGACAGATAGATTATAATGGATCAGGAAATCTGCACCGATGATTGGTGTTTGTACGTCGGCCGAAAGGAGGATCCACTTGAACGCACGTCGCAATCCGAGGTCAGGGGTGAGGGAACGTTCGCGGTATGTAGCGGCGCGGGTACCGTTAGCGGCTTGTAAGGAGAAAGAAGCAGAATCGGAAAGTGGATTCTTATGTGGTAGCACAATAACTTCAGCTCCCATATCTACGAGGAAACGCAGACCTCTTGAATGATCGGTGATGTGGAACAGGCAACTAGTGCGAGGAGGGCCACAGACAGTCGTCGCCCCTACTGACTGGCCGGGGTTTTTAAAGGGGTGTTGTGGCGCGGCTTGAAGGAACAAGGTGGTTGACACTTGGGTGCTTTGGGCCATAAGATCGGTGATACCAGCACCAAGAGGGACGGGCACGGGACAGCGATCTGGTTCGTGAACGTGGCCGATGCCTGTTGACCTCTAACCGGTCAAAGCATCAAACTTAGCCTGTAGTTGCGATATGAAAGCAATAATCGGATCGGAATCTGTAGAGGCAGTGGGTGTAGGGCGGGAGACGGAGTTTATGGAGTTACTGGGGTATGTTTCGTGTATCTTATTACCCATTTGGGCTAGCCGCTCCAAGCTGTGGTCATCAACGAAAGCACGAAGAGCGTCATAGGGATTTTCCTTGGGAATATCCTCCAATAGATCTTCCACTTCTGTTGCTACATCACAATGAAGACGCTGGACAACGTAGGAAAATCGCTTGGCTTGGGAAGTGATGCGTCAGGTAGTAAAAATGGCCTCCGCCTGGTGAAACCATACCCTGGGGTTGCGTGGATTGTAGTCCGGTAAACCTATGCTAATCGCATTCTCGACTAAATCCGCTGAATCGAAGTGTGCCTCCATAATGACCAGGCAAAAGAAACAAAATTACGACGACTTGAAAAGAAAAATTCACGAAAAATATCTATAAGTACTCGGGCTCACCAAATTTGTAGTGGTCTGGCTACCCAATAAGTTAGTTTACCAGGAGTGTGTGGCAAAGAAATAAAAAATAATTACAGTATACAAAATACGGTATACAAAAATAAAGAGGTCAGGTGGAACGGACTCACTAACAATTGTTCTCTTTAAAATAGTTCGTCGTTGGCCCAGGTCGGCGAGTAAACAATAATCCAATTATGTTGGTCCAGAGGTCTCCTTCTGGACATTTCGCACATATAATAGATTCCGAAGATGGTCTGAAATGTTTTGGTACCAGTGTTAGTACATGAGACACGCGAATGACCGCTACAAGCGCGAGCGAAAATCAGAAGAGAGAGAGAGTCGAAGCACGTGACCACGCTTGCATTCTGTGAAATTGTACAAGTGCGCGTTTTTGTAGTTTTTCCAAACAAAACAAAAAACGATTATACAGTTGATGAAATACCTAATGTTATAATGGAATTAAAAGAAAGGTTCAAAACTTACGGCTAATTCATCCTGACAAAAAACGATTATACAGTTGATGAAATACCTAATGTTATAATGGAATTAAAAGAAAGGTTCAAAACTTACGGCTAAATTCCTTCATCCTGAACCTGGAATTTTGACGCGCGTTCAGGTGGTTCTCCGTTTTGATCGACGTCTAAACACGCATCATTTGTGGAGACTTCCTGATTCACCACCTCTAATCTGTCGATGTTCGTTACAAGCGCCTCTTGGACATGCTAACTATGCAGTGGTTGTTTTAAAAATCACGTTTGGCCGGTTAACTTCTGAATGCTATTGTCACAGGCGCAGAAAATTTGCCCTGGAAATGGTCACAAAAT